ACCGACTTTGGTGTCATCCGCAAATTTACTAACCCATCCTTCTACGCTCTCATCCAGGTCATTTATAAAAACGACAAACAGCAGTGGCCCCAAAACAGATCCTTGAGGTACACCACTAGTAACTGAACTCCAGGATAAACATTTCCCATCAACCACCACCCTCTGTCTTCTTACAGCTAGCCAATTTCTGATCCAAACCGCTAAATCACCCTCAATCCCATAAGTCCGTATTTTCTGCAATAGCCTGCACCAATCCAGATTCTCTATCTAAACCTGTCGCCTATTTTCCAAGGATCTGTATCCCTCTGCTCCCTGCCCATTCATGTATCTGTCTAGATACATCTTAAATTGCGCTATCATGCCCACCTCTACCCACCTCCACTGGCAACGCATTCCAGCCACCCACCACCCTCTGCGTAAAGAACTTTCCATGCATATCTCCCTTAAACTTTTCCCCTCTCACCTTGAACTTTTCCCCTCTCACAAGGCAGGTTGAATCCAACGTTGCTTTTGTGACAGGAGACATGGGGTGGTAGAGGCTGTTTGTGTGACCAGCGCACAGTGTGCAGTGGTGTACCACAGGGATCAGTTCTGGGGTCCTTATTGTTTGTGATATACAGAAACGATACAGAAGAAAATGTGGAGGGGGGTGGGATGGTATGTAAGTTTGCAGATGACACAAAAATTCACCAAGTGATCGACAGTGAGACAGGAGGTCTTAGGCTACAGGAGGATATAAATGGATTGGTCAGATGGGCAGATCAGCGGCAGATGGAATTTAACCCTGATGAACAGGAGGTGATGCACTGTCGAAGAAAAAAAACAAGACAAGGGAGTACTCATTGAACAACAGGACACTAGGAAGTTCAGAGGATCACAGGGATCTTGTCTACAGATCCCTGAAAGTAGCTGGAGAGGTTAATAGGGTAGTTAAACACACACTTGTTCTTATCAGTTGTGGTATAGATTATAAGAGCAGCGAAGTTATGCTGGAGCTGTAGAGAACTTTGGTTAGGCTGGAGTACTATGGTCTCCACACTAAAAAAAAAGGATGTGAAAGCACTGGAGGGGGTGCAGATGAGATTCACCAGGATGCTGGAGCAAATGACTGCAGATGCTGGAATCTCAACTGAAAACAAAAAAAAAAATGCTGACGATCACAACGGGTCAGGCAGCATCCATACAGGAAAAGCAAGCTAACGTTCCAAGTCTGACACAAAACGATAGCTTGCTTTCTCTCTATGGATGCTGCCTGATCCATTGTGATCTCCAGCAGTTTTTGTTTTCACCAGGACATTGCCTAGGATAGAACATTTCAGCGATGAAGAGAGGCTGGATAAAGTCAGGTTGTTGTCTTTGGAGCACAGAAGGCTGATGGGGGACCTGATAGAAGTGTATAAGATTATGAGGGGCACAGAGAGGATGGATAGGAAGCAGCTGTTCCCCTTAGTTGAAGGGTCAATAATAAAGGGGTATAATTTTCAGGTGAAAGGCAGGAGTTTTAGAGGGAATTTGAGAAAAATGTTTTTTTCACGCAGGGGATAATGGCCTAGGAGGATAGTTGAGGTGGGAAATTTCACAACCTTTAAGAAGTACTTGGATGAACACTTAAAATGTCACAACATTGAAGGCAAAAATAGAAACTGCCGGAGGAACTCAACAGATCTGGTAGCATCTGTGGGGAAAAAGCAGCATTAACTTTTCGAGTCCAGCAACCCTTCTTCAGAACTGAAGAAGGGTCACCGGACTTGAAATGTTAAACAAAAAACAGAAGTTGCTGGAAAACCTCAACAGGTCTGGCAGCATCTGTGAAGAAACATCAGAGTTAACGTTTCGGTTCCATTGACCCTTCCTGAGAACTGATGGTAGTTAGGAAAATGCCCATTTATATGCGGAAGATAGGGAGGGGGAGGGGTTAAGGAGTAAATGATAGGTGGCGATTGAGCCGTTGGATAGATAAAAGAGGTGATAATGATCTGGCTAGGAGGGTGAATAGCTATTAATGGGGACAGTTTGTAACTAACAAAAGGTAGTATGTCACGGCAGACAATGTGATAACAAGGCCTGGTGTGTCGGGTAAGGGACATGGGAGAGTTCAGGCCATAAAATTATTGAACTCGATATGGAGTCCGGAGGGCTGTAGGGTCCCTAAGCGGAAAATGAGGTGTTGTTCTTCCAGCTTGTGTTGAGCTTTGCTGTAACACTACAGCAAGACTGAGACAGAGATGTTGGCCAGGGAACATGGTGGTGTGTTAAAGTAGCAGGCAGCTGGAAGCTCAGGGTCTTTTCTGCAAGCAAAACGTAGATATTCTGTGAAGCAGTCACCCAGTCTATGCTTCATTTCTCCCTGCTGCTTCACCTGCAAGGTATGTTAACTCTTCTTCTCTCTCCATAGATTCTACCAGAACAGCCAAGATTCTCCAGCAATTTCTGCTTTGTTTCAGATCTCAATCATCTGCAATTCTATGTTTTATAACATTCAAGGTGATAGGCCAAGTTCTGAAAAGTGGGACTAGTAGATTTACAGTAGTTTTTGTCATACAGCCTTGATGGGCTGAAGGGCCTCTTCTGTACTGTTTGATTCAAAGATGATTTCTTTAGAAGTCAAGCCCTTACTTTTCAACAGTTAAACAAAAAGTCCCAACACAAATGACACCAAAACAGCATACCTTCCTGGCATGTAATATTGAAACTGCCTGAATCCCTCACAGTTACTCACCTCAGAAGCCCTTTTGATGAAGTTCTGTGTTACTCTCAGCATATGACTGTATTCAGTTAGCTCCAGATAATTTCTCTTCAGAGTTTCCTTGTTTTTTGTCACTTCTCTCAGCTCCGCTTCCAGCTGTTGAAGCTGCTCCTTTAGAGAAACAAAACAGCCACATGTGAGGAGATTGTAAGAACTGCAGATGCTGGAGTCAGAGATAACACAGTGTGGAGCTGGAGGAACCTGCAGGCCAGGCAGCATCACAGGAGCAGGAAAGTTGACGTTTCGGGTCGGGACCCTTCTTCAGAAACATGTCAGCCACGTGTGAGGAAGCAGGATTTCCAGAACTACCTCTCACTATTTCCTGGACTGGACCCAATATACAAGCCACTGAAAAACAGAACCAGAAGTGATGCCAACCACCCAACAAACCGAGGCATATAAATAACAAACAGGACAGAACACCAATGCTTCACCGGAGGCACACTGATGGTATTACCTAGCAGGATGACGAAATGTCTGCAAACACACCAGCTTGGCGAGTGTGTCTACAACCTCATCATGTTCAAATCCTCGCTGACTTTTCATTATTTTCATTTTTACTCTTTTATTAATTTTGAATTGAGAGCTGGAAATTATTTGAGAGCTTCGGGACAGATTGTGGTAAAAGGAAGAGAACAGACCAAGCAAGCTTTGTTTGTTTGTGAGGCCAGGCCCAGGGGTTGATTAAAAGAATTCCAACAGATACTGTGACTGTGGGAAGGGTACTGTGTTTAAACAGACAGCAGCTGACTATTAACAGTACCTGGAACTGGTTCCGGCAAGTCTGGAAAGGACCCTACATTCAAGCAGATGGCCGCTGTTGAATGGTAACTGAGGCCTTGGGAACAGTTGATCAGTCTATCAGGGCGAAACCAGAATTAAGGTTTACTTTTGAGCTGTGTTTTGAGACATGGTTCTGCGCTGCTGCTGAGACAGCATGAAGATTTGAAAGCTCCCTGTTTAATCTCCCACACCAGCTGCCAGAAGCCGAAAGAGAGGAAAGCTGAGTTAGAAGAATTGATGCCTTTTCTGGATAAACTGAGGAGGTGACCCTGATCAACACTTCAGTAAAACAGCCAAGAAGTCTACATCTATATCTGGGAAATAATGCATCAAGAAAGAAAGCCATTTAAGTAAACTGGCCAGTTTTATTTTTTACTAAACCGTGTCTGTCTGTCAATCTTTTATGTAATTGCTGGCTAAAAACAAATATTTCAGGTTTAAAGCACAGACATCAGTCTACCATGCTGTTTAATTTTCTCTCTGCAGAAGTTATTGTGTATCTAACAAATAGTTAAAACTTTTGTTTAAGATACAAAACCAGTGTTTGGAAATTCATCTTTCGCAAAGTCTGGGCTTGGTAATTCAAAAGGCTGACGAAGAACCACTGGACAGTCTCGTCAGGGGTCTTCAACAGTTTAATTTTATTGTGTTGCCAAAAACAAAAGAGAGAAAGGATGATTTGGTTCAGCTGCCTGCTTCCATGTCCTAAGAATGATAAAAGCAAAGTGTGACACTAGGAAAAATGTTTTTACAGGGACTGTCTGAACAGGGAATACTTTACCACAAGTAGTTATTAAATTGGAGGCCACATCATGAGTTCCCATCATTAAAAGAGACATCATGTCAAAAGACAAAGGGCAAAAAAGGCAGAGCAATAAAATGAGGTGCATCCTCAGCGACTGGAGTTAGCACCTACACAACAGCATAGGCCAAGTACCCCCCTCCCAATCAATGCTGTGCATTCTATGATTGTGCTATGCTAATGGCAGACGTCACAACTTCAGCTATTGGCAGCTACATGAATGTGTTTTTATCTTGGCGATGACAACACACTAGAAATCCACAAAACAGTAAGACATAGTCACCAGCCTATAAACTCTGGTAAAGAGTCACAACTATTCAAAATAAGTTGAAGAAAAATTCCAGCAATTACCAGTCAGTTTAACTTTAGCAGTGGGGAAACTTCTGGAAACAATAATTCAGGATAAAATTAATGGTCATACAAATAAATGTGTGTTAATTAGAGAGAGCCAGCAAAAATGTCTTAAAGGACAATCCAGTTTTACTAACTTGATGTTCTTTAAGCAGATAACAAAGAAGGTCAATGATGGTAATACTGTTAATGTGGTGCACATTAACTTTCAAAAGGCATCTGACAGTGCTGCGCAACAGAGCAGTAAGAAACATTATAGCTCACAGAACAAACAGGCAGTTGCAACATTAGAGATAACAAGGTGTAGAGCTGGATGAACACAGCAGGCCAAGCAGCATCAGAGCAGCAGGAAAGCTAACATTTCGGGCCTAGACCCTTCTTCAGAAAGAAGGATCTAGGCCCGAAACTTCAGCTTTCCTGCTCCTCTGATGCTGCTTGGCCTGCTGTGTTCATCCAGCTCTACACCTTGTTATCTCAGATTCTCCAGCATCTGCAGTTCCTACTATCTCTGAAACAGTTACAACATTAGTTGACTGAGAGTTAGAAAGCAGAGAGTAACGATCTGTGCGCATTTTCCAGGCTGGAGAAAGGTTTGTAATGGAGTTTCCCAGAGTTCAGTATTGAGACCCTTGCTTTTCCTGATTTATATTAAGGCTCAGGGTCTTGAAGAGCAGGGGACAAATTTAAAGTTTGCAGATGATACAAAATTTGGAAAAATTACAGATTGTAAAGATATCAACAAGTTGATGGAGTAGGCAGATAGGTGGCAAATGAACTTCAATGCAAATGTTTGCAATGGGACTAGGTCAGATTGGAATGTCTGGTCGGCACGGATGATTGGACAGAAGGGTTTGTTTTCATGCTGTATGGCTATGACTCGAAGGGTGAGACGATGCATTTTGGCAGAAAGACCATGGAGAAATGATATAAAATAGAAGGTACTATTCTAAAGGGTTGCAGGAGCAGAGAAACCTGTGTGTATGGGTACCCCCAAGTCATTAAAGAAGGTAGGACAGTTGGAGAAAGCATGAAGTAAATGAAGCACATAGTATTGTTGGAATTATTAATCAGGGCATAACATCCAATCACAGAGATGTCTTGCTGAACTTGTCTAAGTCACTCAAATAAAAATAAAGTACTGTGCGTGCTGGAAATCTGAAATTCAAACAAAAAGTGCTAGAAAAATTCAGGAGATCTGGCAGCATCTGTGGAGAGAGAAGTAGAGTTAACATTTCAAATCTGATATGACTCTTCTTCAGATCAAGACAGTACTTAAACTTCAGCTGGAATTCTGTGCACAGTTCTGGGCTTCAGGATGAATATGAATGCATTTTAAAAAGTGGAGAAGAGGTTTACAAGAACAGTTTCCAGGGACAAAAAACTAGAGTTCTGAACAGAAATTGGAGAGGCTGGAGCCAGAGGCAGGGACTGTTTTCCTTGGATAGGAGAAGGTTAAGAGGAAATTTGATTAAAGTTTTCAAAATCATGACAGGCATGGACAGACTAAACAGGGAGAAACCATTCCCATTCATGACAAGGGTCAAGAATGAGAGGGCACAGATTTCAAGTGATTTTCAAAAGAAGTGAGACAGAGGGGAGAAAACATTTGTCATACAGCAAATTGTTAAAGTCTGGAATACAATGCCTGGAAGTGTGGTGAAGGCAGGTTCAACAAAGGCATTCAAGAGGAAATGCACAGTTTGAGAAAAAGGGAGGACTGCATCAAGACATGATGCTCATCTGAAGAAGTGATGGAGACACAATGGGCTGAATGGCCTCTTTCTACAGAATCATTACTGTGCAAAGATTTTGCAACAGGAGAATAAAATCATGTTATTCTGAGCATCACCCTCAATGCTGCTGGCTACAGGAGTAAAGTCTAATGGCTGTAAGCACCAGAAGCTGTTTACTAACACCACTGGGCCAGTGGCCCACCACATCTTTGTTTCCTGTTGACTTGACTGAGTTGAAAAAACTCAGAGAGATGAAATTAACTGTACATTGGATACAGTGTTTTGTGGGTGAAATGCTTACAATCAGAACTTACCTGTATTTTTAAAACATGCTGTGGTAGAGGTGCAACAGGATTTACATCACTGTCCATCAGAGAGATATCAGCTTTCTTAATTTCTTGCAACAAATAGCCTGAAATAAAGGAGAAAATAATTAGTCATTTTCTGTACACGACCAAAGCTTGTGGTGCTAGGCCAGACTGCAGCAGAGTGGCAGCACACCATTCCACTCCTTGCAATAGTCCATCTCATTCGTGCTAATGGCAATATAACAGAGGGAAGTGCTGCTTCCCTCACAGTCAGGGTAAGAGAAAGCAGGAGTTATCCTAGGCCTGTGCTGATACAACTGCGAACCGTACTGCCAAAAGTCCAGCTCTCTGAAAGGGTGAAATGGGAGTGTGTGTGGGGCCATCCCAAGGGTATCGTAAGGCATAAATAAATAGAGTCTTCATGAGCAACAGGCAATACTGTGCATTTAGTCCAGTTTAATTCAACGTCAGCAATATGATGCTGATCAAGAACACAGAGCATGTCATAACAGTAGACTTTGAGGAACTGACAAACATATAACAAACAAAGCAGCCTTTCAACACAGCAGCTATTGAATCATCTTACTTATTTTATCACCATGGCAACATGGATAAGCAGGAAAAGCACATGTTCAAATTAAACAGGAACAGAAAATGTCTCTAGGATTTCTTTTCTTAACTCTATCCAGAACTAATCAATTCTAAATCACATTGCTGTTTAATGAGCACCAATCTCCAAGTGAAAAAAGATTAATTCAATTCTGTCAAGATCCTGTTTATGTTCCACCAAAAACTAAATCTGATTAGAATAAAAACTGAGCAATAAAAATGCTCAGATCAAAGAAAAAGCTGTTTTGCACTCCCAGAGCATTTGGATACGCTAGACAACAAAGACCTGACTACGCTAACCACATTTTTTAGTTCATGGCCCATAAACTTGGAGGCTCTCTGGTGGTTCAAGTGAATACCTAAATACTGTTTAAACATGACGCAAGTTTCTGACTCAAACACCCAGTTCCAGATTCTGACCACCCGCTGATTGAAAACATTGCTCCTTAACTCTCCTTTTATCCTTATATGTCTTACCTTAAAATCAGTAACCCCTAGCTATTGACCCCTCTACTACTGGAAAAAGTGCTTTTCAAACCAGCCCATCTCTGCCCCACAGAATATTGTACACCTCAGTCAGTCCCCTTTCAACCTTCACTGTTCCAGGGTAATCAACCCCAGCCTATACAATCTTCCTTCATAGCTCATAGCCCAGGCAGCATCCTGGTGAATCTCCTAATCACCCTCTCCAGTACAATCACATTCCCCTCCCAAATGTGGTGACCAGAACTAACACAATACAACTAGTTGTGGCCTAACCAGTGTTTTATGCAGTTTCAGCATAACCTCTCTGCTCTTGTATTTCATGCCTCTACTAATAAAAGTATCCCAATGCCTTCTTCGCCACCTTAACTATCTTCAAGGATCCGTGGATATATTCTTTCCCAAGAAAGATGTGAATCTATGGAATTCTTTACTGCAGGAGGCTGTCAAGGCTGGGTTTTTAAGAATATTCGAGGCTGAGATAGGCAGAATTGTAATCAATAAGGGAAGCAGGAGTTATGGGGAAAAGGTAGGAAAGTGAAGTTGTAGACTATGAGATGAGACAGGATTTCATTGAATGGTGGAGGAGACATGATGGCCCAAACGGCCTACTTCTGCTCCCGTTTTATGGTCATACAGAATGAAAACAAACACAGACAACGGCAGCTCTCACATCTCAATAAATTCCTGTGAAAAGGACAGTCTTTCAACAGCTTATCATCCAGCCCAGAATGCTAACCCTAACACTATTGCAAGTATTCTCTTGTCCATGAACGTACTTCGGGGAAGATGAGGCTCACCGGGGAAGTCAGGGACAGCATAAAAGCAAAAGAAAAGGCATTCAATGTGGTGAATATTAGCGGGAAGCCTTTAAAACCCAGCAGAGGAAACTAGAAAAGCAATAAGGAAGGAGAAGGAGAAATATGATAGTAAGCTAGCTAATAATATAAAAGAAGATTGTTTTTAAAAGATATCTAAAAAGTAAGAGAGAGAGAAGAGTGGACATTGGATTGCTGGAAAACGAGACTGGAGATGTAGTAATGAGGATCAAAGCAATGGCAGAGGAACTGAATTGCATCAGTTTTCACAGTGGAAGACACCAGCAGCACACCAGAACTTGGAGAGAGTCTGGGGAGCAGAGGTAAGTGTAGTGGCCATCACTAAGGAGAAGGTGTTGGGGAAGCTAAAAGGCCTGAAGATGGGTAAATTGGATAGACAGAATTGTAATCAATAAGGGATGCAAGAGTTTTGGGGAAAAGGCAGGAAAGTGAAGTTGAAGATTAATAGATAAGTTGTGATCTTATTGAACGGCCAGGAGATAACAGAGGAGATTAGAGTCAGGGAGGGTCACAGAGGACTGGAAAATGGCTAATGTAACAGCCCTGCGTAAGAAGTGAGAGGGGTAGAAGACACAAAACTATAGGCCAGCTAGCCTGACCTTGGTCATTGGTAAGATTTGACAGAATCCATTATTAGACATGACATTGTAGAGTTCTTGGAAGTGCATGTAAAATAAGGCTGAGTCAGCACAGCTTCATCAAGGGGAGGTCATGCCTGATAAATCTGTTAAGTTTTTGTGGAGGTAATGAACAAGTTAGACAAAGAAGAGCCAGTAGACGTGATCTATTCAGAAGGCCTTTGACAAGGTGCCGCACAGGAGGCTGCTAAATAAGATAAGAGCCTGTGGTGTTAGGGCCGATGTACGGGCGTGGATAGAGGATTGGCAGAGGACAGAGAGTGGGGATAAGGGGGTCTTTTTCAGGATGACAGCAGGGGTCTGTATTGGGACCACAACTATTCACATTATACGTTAACAATCTGGAAGAAGGAACTCTGGGCATTGTTGCTAAGTTTACAGATGACACAAAGATAGGTGGAGGGACAGGTAGTGTTGAGGAAGCAAGGAGGCTACAGAAGGACTTGGACAGGCTAGAAAAGAAGTGGCAGATGGAATACAATATGGGAAAGGTTATGCACTTTGGAAGGAAGAATAGAAGCACAGATTATTTCCAAACAGTAAAGGCTTTGGAAATCTGAAGCACAAAGGAACTTGAGAGTTCTAGTTCAGGATTCTCTTAAGATTGACATGCAGGTTCAATTGACAGTTAGAAAGCCAAATGCAATGTTTGCATTCATTTCAAGAGGGCTAGAATACAAGAGCAGAGATGAGGCTGTATAAGGCTCTGGTCAGACTGCATTTGAAATATTAAGAGTAATTTTGGTCCCATATCAAAAGGAGGACGTGCTGGTGTTACAGGGGTCCAGAGAAGGCTTACAAGAATGATCCTCGGGATGAAGGTTTGTCATATGAGAAGGAACTGAGGACTCTGGGTCTGTACTTGATGGAGTTTAGAAAGAAGGGGGGGAGTGGGCGGAGGACCTCATTGAAACTTACAGAATACAAAGAGAGATCGTGAGAGAGCGAGAGCGCGAGCGCACGCAAGAGTGCGAAAGCGAGAGACAGCGCGCAAAAGCGAGAGCGAGAGAGACAGCGCGCGCAAGAGCAAGAGCACACAAGAGCAAGAGCATCTCGAGAGAGACAGCGAGAGCCAGAGCGCGCAAGAGCAAGAGCGAGAGAACACAAGAGCGAGAGAGAGAGCACGCAAGAGCAAGACATAGAGTGCAAGAGCGAGAACACGCAAGAGTAAGAGAGAGGGCAAGAGAGAGCGCGCGCGAGAGAGAGACAGAGAGAGAGACAGCAAGAGCGCGTGGACGTCGAGATGTTGCTTCCACTCACAGGAGTGACTAGGATCTGGGGTACGGCCTCAGAGTGAAGGGATGACCCTTTAGTACTGAGAGGATGAGGAATTTCTTCAGCCAGAGGGTGGGGAATCTGTGGAACTCATTGCCTGCAGAGTGCTGTGGAGGCCAAGCCAATGAGTGTATTTAAGACCAAGATAGATAGATTCTTGATTAGTAGGGTGATCAAGGATTATGGGAGAAGGCAGGAGAATGGGGATGGGAAACATATCAGCCATTATGGAATAGTGGAGCAGACTCAATGGGTTGAATGGTCTAATTCTGCTCCTACGTCTTATGGTCCCTGCTTCTCACTGACGGTTATCACAGGTTGGAACCCATTTAATGATTCTCAAATCTGGATCTAGCCCAGCCCCTCAAACATCCCACCCCGCCGTGGGGTCACCAACTCACAGGAATTAATTGGGGTGTTGGCTGATAGCATTTGTGTATTCGAAAGGAGATTACACTCAGACAGGTGCCTCTGTTGGCTGCCTTGATATCTGTGGTCTCAATTTAGCAGGATCTGCAAATATCTTTCCAACCTACCCAGCGTTTTCTCCATCTCTTCACACCTCCTCATCTCACTGACAAATTTACGCTGGAAGGTTGTGACATTTGGGTTGAGCTGAGAAACAGAAATATAATTACGTTTTATTAGCAGAATAGAAGCTCAATTGGCAATTCAAAATTTCATCACTTACAGAATTGTTGCTTAATTAAACCATCATTTACTAAAGAAATATCTATTCATTATGACTTGGCTTTTTGGATGAGGGTGAATTGAAAATTAAAGAAATCAGTGCAAGTGTTTATCCAACATCCAGAGGTCACTTCAACAAGCAGCCATCACAACCTCTTCTTGGATGGTTGAAAACACACAGTCACATCCTTGGGTTAAAGAAATCAAAACATTTATCCCTTTTAAGGAGATGCTGCCAGTTTTAGAACCAGTTAAAAGTGCCTATGATAATCTTGCTGCTGGGATACTACTGTGCACCATATTGAAAACAGAAGTCTGTTCAGTGGCCAGAGAAATTAGACAGAACACAACTTTGGTCCAAATCAGCTGAAGGCTCAGCTGTCTCTGATGGAGGGCTGTGGAGGCCAAGTCAGTGAGTGTATTTAAGAGAGAGATAGATAGGTTCTTCATCAGTAAACCAATCAAGAGTTACAGGGAGAAGGCAGGAGAATGGGGTTGAGAAACATGTCAGCCCATGATGGATGGCAGAAGCGATGCAATAAGCCAAATGGAGTGAAATTAAACTGGGTGGAATATTAAAATGATGTGGGATGGGACAGGTTGAAAAAAGCAACAAAGTTTAATGGACCAAATGACTTGGTTCTAGGCTGGAAAATTCTATGGTTATATGATCATTTTTAATTGTTTTCCCTTTTATCTGCACTACAAATCAATACAGGAAGGGCAAAGACAAACAGAACGGATGAGATGATAGAATATTGCTATAAATTGTACAGTGTCACTTTGAATCCCTGCAAGTACAATATTTTCTCTAAAAAAAAGAATATTTTTAACAAAAGTACTTCTCTAGACTTGATTTCTCCATTGAAGTGTATCTTCATCATCAGGTATCAAAATAAACAACAAAATCCAAGCTGTATGGAATAGAAGTGGGGGAGTCACTTGGAAATGGGTATGAAAATTTTTAAAAAATAATCAGATCCAATGGAGGAAATTAGCTCTTGGATCTTGTACTTTGGGGTTGTAGATATTTTTAACCAACTTGGTCAGACCTGTTACGACACACTTCTACAGCAGGTGGGACATGAACCACGGTCGCCTGGCCCAAACGGTAGGGACACAACCACTGCACCACAACAGCCCTAAGCTCTGGGTCGGAACCTGATCGGTCACATTCAAGACCAGTATCTGGTGCCCACAGCCAAGACCAGAAACTACTCCTGGTGCTCAGAATGCCAACTGCTGACTCCTGGGGAAACTTAGACAAGGGACCCAACTGTTCTTATAATACAGAAGGAGAGATGGGGGTGTAGAGAGATGTGCGCCTGGATGGCTAGTCCAGTGACCACGAGCTCAAATCCCTGTTTCAATCCAGTTACTAAATCGGAAACTGAACTCTAGTCTCAGTAATGATGACCATTTAACTATCACAGAGTGTCTTCAAAATCCCATCTGGTTCACTAATGTCCTTACGCGGTCAATTTCACACGGGACTCCAGACCCTCAGCAATGTGGCTGATTACTAATTGCCCTCTGACACACCTGAGCAAGACAGTCAAGTGCAGGCGCTCCCTCCGCGCTGACCCTCCGACAGTGCGGCGCTCCCTCCGCGCTGACCCTCCGACAGTGCGGCGCTCCCTCCGCGCTGACCCTCCGACAGTGCGGCGCTCCGTCAGGTGTGAAGGTGAGTGTCTGTTTTGACTTTGTGCTCAAGGCTCTGCAGTGGGATTTCCATGTTAAAGCTACGTGGGGCGACAATGAGGGGATATGGGCAATGCTGGATTGTAATTATGGAGGAGCACACAGATTTAAATTATCTGCCTCTGTGACCGCACCTCATGTTCATTACCAAAAACAGAACAGGAGATATTCACCAAACCACAGCATTCTCAACTATGGGCACCAAGTTAAATATTCTGAAATCCTCGGTGGCCTCATTTCCACAAGTTGTGAAACGAACTTGTGAAACGAACACCATGCATAACAATGAAACAGGATTTCAGGTACAGAGAGAGGGGCCGAGAGCGAGAGGAGCTGAGAGCGAGAACGAGAACGAGAACGAGAGTGAGAGGGGCCGAGAGCGAGCACATACACACACACATTAGAACAAGAGGAAAAGAGAGTGTAATCACTATTATAAGACCACAAGGGTTTGGAATAGGCATAGACCATTCAGCCATCAAGCCTGTTCCGCCATTCAATGGCATCATGATTGATCTTAGGCTCCAACTCCATTTCCTGGCCTGCTCACTATATCCCCTAATTCCCTGAGACACGAAAACCTGTCTCTCCCCAGCTAAGGATGGTGACTCCAGTTCTCTGGGGTAGGGAATTCCACAGATTCACCCCATCTGAGTGAAGAAATTTGTCCTCAGCTTGGTCCTAAAATATCAATCCCTTACCCCGAGACACTGCCCCCACGCGTCCTATTCTACATTCCAAGAAACCACCTCCCAGTGTCCCACGTTGTTAAGACTGGGAATGCTCAGCTCACATACAAAGCAACCTCGACATTTAGACACAACACAGGAAGGCACAAAAAGGAGAAATGAGCCCTCAATTGGTTAAACTCACATTAGTTCATTCCAGCATGGATCTTACTCCATCCAGCTCATCTCCCAAAAGACAGAAACAGTTCTGCAACCACCCCCTCACACTGTCGACTCCACTGCAATATACCTTTACAACAAGGTTCATCTAAAACCATGACTTTCATTTCCTGGCTTAATGAAACTGCAAGGTGGACAGCCTGAAACCTCTACTGTCTACACTAACTGGTCACTGGGTCTATCCACAGTGTTACAATCCAGCCTAATACTGAGCTGTTGAACCAAGCTTCCTTCGGTAATGACAGTATTAGAAGGAAGAGGGAATCCTGGCTCAAACCCTCCCCTATGGGATTGCCATCCCAACCATCAATACTAAAGCAGATTATTCAGATCACTGTCTCGTGCTGCTTGCTGGAGGTTGCTGTCGGTCTTCAAGGTTTTTCTCTTTGATTCACTCACGGGATGCAGGCCATGTTGGCTGGGCCAGCATTTATCACCAGTCCCTAGTTGTTCTCAAGAAGGTGGTGGTGAACTGCCTTCTTGAACCACTACAGTCCATGTGCTGTCGGTAGATCCACAATGTCCTTAGGGAGGGAATTCCAGGATTTTGATCCAGCAACACTGAGGAACGCCAATATATTTCCAAGTTAGGATGGCAAGTGGCTTGGAGGGGAACTTGCAGGGGGTGGTGTTTCCATGTATCTACTGCCCTTGTCCTTCTAGATGGAAATGGTCACATGTTTGGAAGGTGCTGTCTGAGGATCTTTGGTGAATTTTGCAGTATATCTTGTGGATAGTACACACTGCAGCTACTGAGCACCACTGGTGGAGGGAGTGAATGTTTCTGGATGTGGTGCCAATTGCTTTGTCTTGGATGGTACCAAACTTCAATTGTTGGAGCTGCACTCATCCAGGCAACTCGGGAGTATTCCATCACACTCCTGGCTTTTGGACAGGCTTAGGGGAGTTAGGAGGTGAGTTACTCGCTGCAGTATTCCTAGATTCTGACCTGCACTCGTAGACACAATATTTATATATTGTGCTCGGTGCAGTTTTTGGTCAATGGTAACCCCCAGGATGTTGACAGTAGGGTTGCAGGGATGGTTATTACGTTGAATGACAGGGGTGGTAGTTAGATTCTGTCTTGTTGGAGATCGTCGTTTCTTGGTATGTGTGTGTCACAAATGTTATTTGCTACTCTTCAGCCCAAGATCAGGATATTGTCCCAATTTACTGCATTTGCATATGGACTGTCTCAGTATGTGAGGAGTCAAGATTGGTGCTAAACATGTTTGCTGATCATTGCACAATCCCCACTTCTGACCTTATGATGGAGGGAATGTCATTGATGAAGCAGCAAAAGACGGTCAGGCCAAGGACACTACCCTGAGGAAGTCCTGCAGAGATGTCCTGGAGCTGAGATGACTGATCTCCAATGACCACATCCATCTTCCTACGAGTATCCAGTGTTGCAATCCAGCCTGATAACGAAGCTGTTGAACCAAGGTCCCATCGATATGGTCAGTATTCAGCTAAGAGGGAACCCTGGCTCAGATACTAACCCTAAACCTAACCCCTCATGGGTTTTGGTATGAGTCTAACCCTCAAAGTCTGCCCCCGATTCCCAAAGATTCCAGTTTTGCGAAGGCTCTTTGATGCCACATTTATATATTGTGCTCGGTGCAGTTTTTGGTAGCGTTGATATCAAGAGCTGTCACTCTCACCTCACCTTTGGAATTCAGCTCTTTTTCCGTCTTTGAACCAAAGTAGTAATGGGGCAGGAGCTGAGTGGCCCTGGCAGAACCCAAACTGGGCATCACTGAGCGGGTTATTGCTGAGCAGGTGCTGCTTGATAGCACTGTTACTGACACCTTCCATCACTTTACCGATGATCGAGAGGAGACTGATGGGGCGGTAATTGGCCGGGTTGGATTTGTCCTGCTTTTTTTTCCCCCGTGTACAGAACATACCTGGGCAATTTTCCACAGGTCGGGTGGATGCTGTAACTGTACTGGAACAGCTTGACTAGGAAAGCAGCAAGTTCTGGAGCACAAGTACCCATAGTCTTTGCAGTATTCAGTGTCTTCAGCTGTGTCTTGATATGACATGGAGAGAATTAAATTGGATGAAGACTGGTATCTGTAATGCTGGGGACCACTGGAGGAGGCCAAGATGGATCATCCATTCGGCACTTCTGGCTGAAGATTGTTATAAATATTCTCTCAGCATCACCTGTCCTCATGAAATGTGTTACAGATGTGTGAAATTGTTCTTTTCTGTTATGTAGTGTCACAAGATGTGGGACAAAAATAGAAATTGCTGGAAAAGCTCAGCAGGCTCACAGCATCTGTGGAGAAAAATCAGAGTTAACATTTC